ACCTAACCTTCGGACGAGGATGCTGAAAGAATATGGATGGAGTCTGCTGGCGGTCCAAAATGGGGTAAGTTATACGGGCTTCCTACTAAAAAGTTCCATCGCTATAAGTGTGGAATACAAGGAATAGGGACTTCCTCGCAAGGCGAGCACCTTAATGGGGAGAGCCTCTCTGCTATACGGGAGACTGTGACAAAGCTCACATCCGAGCTAGAAGCAGCCAAGGAAAGAGAAAGGGTTAGAGATGCTCAATTCCTTGGCATGCAAGCTTAGATCAGAACTCTCCTATCTACTGGAGCTTTTCCGTTGCCCCGGTCTCGTGAGTCATCGCCAGAGGCTCGACTTGAACGTGAGCATTCCTTCCGTCCTCCCCGTGATTGTTCCTCCTGTCCTCCCCGTGGTCGTTCTTTACGTCCTCCACAAGACCCTTCTCGGTACCGTCTTTTAGATGAAAGTTCATCAGACGGTGATGATGATGTTGTACAAAACACTCCTTGACTTGTATATACTTTGAACTAGACAAATAGAACCGGTTCTGAACTAGTTGTAATAAGTATTAACTTGGTTTTGGATTTTTTTAGTTCTATTGAACTTTAATTTGTTAGTTTTAATGTATTTATTGAATTGTGTCGTTGTTGTTGTTGTGTTGTTGTTGTTATTGTTGTTGTTATTGTTGTTGTTGTTGTTGTTTATTATTATTGTTATTGTTGTTGTTATTGGCATAAAATGCCTGTTTAGGAATTTTGGTATGCTGGCAGGTGGTGTAGCTGAACACGCATTTTATGCCAAAATTAAAACCCAGAAAACCGACCAAAGTTGGTCGGTATTTAATTTTAAAAAAAAAAAATACTTCTGATTAGCGACCAAAGGTTGTCGCTTAATCTTAAAAAAAAATTAATAATTACCGACCAAAGTTGGTCGGTTAATGAACAAGGATTACCCATATTTCACATTTACCGACCAACTTTGGTCGCCAATTTTTAAAAATATATATATTTTAATTAATCGACGAACTTTGGTCGCTAATCTTTGAATTTTAATAATTAATAATATAACGTAATTTACATACACCGACCAACTTTTATCGGTAAAATTAATTATTAAAATATGTTACTAACCAAAGTTGGTCGGTATGTGCTTTAAATTGCACAGTTGGTCCTTTTACCTTTGCAACCAGCTTTGATCGGTAACTAACGACCAACTTTAGTCGGTATACAAAAGCGACCACTAAAATAGCGACCAAGCTTGTTTGGACGCATTTTGGTCGATATTTTGATAAATAGACCAACGTTGGTCGCTAAAACCCGGATTTCTAGTAGTGGATCCCTTCACGTTCCTTTGCAAGATTTAATTCAGCAAAAGTTGGTGGACGTACAAAATACATAGGCTTGTTTATGATGGACTTTTTGAAAGCTTCCTTAGCTAGTAGATGTGTTACTTCATTTTCCTTTTGGAAGTTATGCCTGACCATTGAGTGTCTCGCCCGGAGCATTAACAACATGTATTCATTGATGAGACACGTTAGTATACTATTATCATCACTTAGAAACTTGATTGCTTTTGTTGAATCTGTTTCTATTTCCAATGACAGGAGACGCAAATTATTGGCTGCTTGAAGGCCATGTTTTAGTGCCAATAGTTCTGCTTGTGGTGGTAAACCTGCAAAAGAAACGTTAGAAAAGCCACAGTCCAATCACCACTATAATCTCTTATGACTCCTCCCAAACCTACATGAAAATTTTCGCAATTAAAAGTAACATCTACATTTAACTTATAAAGACCTCTTGTTGGCGTTGCACAAAAGAAAATTTTCCAAAGAAAAAGAATCAGCAAAAAATTGGTCCAGGAGATTCAAAACATAAGGTTTATTTGCATGGATTTAAGTTATATGTACCTATTTTTTACATTATTAGTGTACTTTAATGTAACGACCCGGCCGGTCGTTTTGAGTTTTATATCCCCGTTTCAAAATTATTGCTTATTATATGTTTGTTTTTCTTTATGTGACTTGCCGGGGTGGTTGGTTTGGTTTCGGGGATGTTTTAGAATAAATTGGGACACCTAGTTCTAAGGTTGGACGCGTAAGTTGAAAGAGTTGACCGGATATTGACTTATATATAAATGACTCCGGAATGAAATTTTGACCGTTTCAATAGCTCCGTAAGGTGATTTTGGATGTAGGGGAGTGTTCGGATAATGATTTGGAGGTACGTAGATGATTTTGACTTGAATCGGCAAAAGTTGGAAAAGTTGATGTTTGGAGAGTTTAGAAGTTTGATCGAGGGTTGACTTTGTTGTTAACGGGCTCAGATTTTGGTTCCAGAAGTTGGAATAGGTCTGTTGTATCATTTATGACTTGTGTGCAAAATTTGAGATCAATCGGAGTTGGTTTGATAGGTTTTGGCATCGATTGTAGAATTTAGAAGTTCATAAGTTCATTAGGCTTGAATTGGTGTGCGATTCGTAGTTTACGTGTTGTTTGATGTAATTTAAGGCTTCAAGCCAGTTCATATGATGTTTTAGGACTTTTTGGTATGTTTGGTTGAGGTCCCGGGAGCCTCGGGTGGATTTCGGATGGTTAACGGATTGAAATTGGACTTGAAGAGTTGCTGAAGTTGCTGATGCATGTGCTTCTTGTTTCCTCTTATGCGATCGTGAGGAGAGGGACGCGATCACAAAGGATAAGGTCTGGCATATGGGAATTTGTTCTATGCAATCGCGTGGTTAGATCTGCAATCGCGACGCCTTGAGGGAGTCGTGTTACGCGATCGCGTGGGAGTAGAAGCATTTGCAAAGAAGGAAGAGGAGGACTGGGAGTTCCACGCGTTGTTCATCGCAATTGCGTGAGGTTGTCCGCGATCGCTTGGGTCAGGGAGGTTGGTCACCGCGTTCTTGACCTGGAGTGTGCGTTCGGGTAGAAGGTTTCTTGGCTACTGAAGATTTTATTCTTCGCGATCGCGAAGGGAATTCCGCGATCGCGATGTGTAATCACTAGGTAGACTATTAAAATATCAAAATCCATAGTCTGAACCCATTTCTCATATTTTGAGCTAGACACCTCGGATTTGGGTGATTTTTGGAGGGATTTTCAAGGAATTGCTTGGGGTAAGTGATTCTAACTTGGTTTTGGTTAATATACATAAATCTATCATTGTTTTTATTATTTAACTAGTAGTTTCGGTTGGAAAAATTGGAAAATATTGTAGAAACTTCATTGGCTTTAATTTGAGGATTTGAAGGTCGAGTTGAGATCAAAATTGAGTAATTTTGGTATGGATTAGACTCTTTGTTGAATGAGTGTTCGAATTTTGTTAATTTTGTCGGATTCCGAGACGTGAACCCGGGGTTGACTTTTTGACTTTTGTTAAAGAACCTAGCTTTATCATATGGAATTGATTCTTATAGCTTGTGTTGAATGTATGAAGTTGTTTGTGGCTGGATTCGAGTCGTTCGGAGGCCGATTCGCTAGGCAAGGGCTTGTTGGAGTAGGGATTTGCGCGGTTTGAGGTAAGTAACGCTTCTAAACTTGATACTGAGGGTATAAATCCTTGAAATACGTGATATATGGTTGGTGTTGAGGTGACGCACATGCTAGGCGACAGGCGTGTGGGCGTGTACCGTAGTAATTACAACTCGGTTGATTCTGTGAAACTGTGTAGTCATATAATCTTGTTATTATTCATGTATTCTCTATGTGTTAGAGAAATTGTGATAGATCTTAAATACTCTTGCCTTATGTTTTGATAATCTAACAAACTTTCTGATAAGAACCAGTTAAGGAACCTGACCTACTTTGGATTGCTGCAAACTTCAACGGACTCTAGTAAAAGATGAACTGCTACAGATTCAGGAGCTAGGAACCAAACAAGGACCTGATTCTCCTATGGTTCCTATATAGCAGTACAAAGTCATTTGGAGACAGCTGGACTGAAGTGACTGACGGGACTATTTCTGCCGCACTGCACCACACTGTCAGCCTACTCATTCTCTAACCAAACAAAGTACTCACATCATTTCAAATGATGTGATCAAGATGTATCAAAATGGTTTTATACAAAAACATCACTGGAAGGTTTCTGTTTCTCATTCAAGCCTTTTGCAAAAACAGAAAAATATCATCCTCTCAAGCTTGAAGAACAAGGTTGAACGCTACTACGGACCACTTCCTAAAAGATTGATTGTTGCTGTCCTAGTTGAGTTGTAACCTTGTTATTGTACCTACTATATCTCCTAAATCGCGTACTTAGAAGCATACTGATTAGGAATCCTCTTGTAAATCCTTAAAACTCGTTGAGTTTAGGTTGTGACTAGATTTAGTCATAAAGAGAAGTCTTTGTAATTGTAGAATTACAAAGTGGCTTGTGGTGATAGCACCACAAGTTAGAAAAAGCCTTTGTAACAAGGATAGTCACAAAGTGGATTGTGGTAAAGGTACCACAAGTTAGTTGAGTAAATCCTTTGCAATAGGAAGTATTGTAACGTGGCTTGTAATAGGTAAGATTACAAGTTAGTAAAGTTAAAAGCCTACAGGTGTAGGTCGTAGTTTTTTTATCCCCTTGTGCGGGATTTTTCCACGTAAAAATCCTCTGCCTCATTTACTTACCGCTTTACTAAGTGCTCTCAGCAAAAACTTGTAGAGAACCAGGTACTCTACGTTTTGGTGGACCCATACAAATTAACAATTGGTATAGGAGCGGGTTCCTCCTATCAGGTTAACACCTAGAAAGGATCCTTTTGACGACTCCACTAAATTTTGAAGAAGGTCATTCCATATACCACCCAACCAAGTTTGATGGAAAATGCTATTGGTNAAACGGCTTTTACAAAGAAAGCCAACAATACTAAGAACTTTTTGACCCTTTACCACAGATACGATGGACCTCAGTGACTAAAGAATTTAATTACATTGTGTCTTACGGCTTTACATTTTTAATTATAGTAGATTTGGATTTTGCATAAGAATACTAATTTTTCGCCCTATCCCTAGTCATAAGGGTGAAGATATGGCGATTGTTATCTCTAAGTGCTTACTTGATTGGGGTTTTGACAAGGTGTTCACCGGTACTGTTGATAATGCAAGTTCAAATGATGTAACTGTGAAAGAATTGTCTAAACGGTTAAGTAATTGGGGAACTAACATGATGGATGGTAATCACCTTCATGTAAGATGTATGGCTCATATAATTAATCTTATTGTACAAGATGGTCTGAAAGAAATCGGTAATTCTATCAAACGTGTTAGACAAGCCATGAAATATATTAGACAATCTCCTGCCGGGATTAAGAAGTTTAAGGACTGTTGTGAAATGTCAAACATAACATGTAAGAAAACCTTATGTTTGGATGTTTCTACAAGATGGAATTCTACTTACTTGATGTTATATACTACACAAATATTTCAGCATGCATTTGAGAGGTATAAGCTCGTTGATCATGGATTAGTTAATTATCTTGTTACCCATGTTTGTGAAGATGGAAATTGTGCAGGTTCGCTTGTGAGTGATGATTGGAATAATGTAAGGAACTTAGTTAAGTTTCTTGAAACTTTTTATGAGCTTACTTTGAAAGTCTCGGGTTCACTTTATGTCACCTCTAATGTTCACTTTTCTGAAATTTCCGAGCATTCTTGTATGTTGAAAGGGTTGGTAGCAAGTGAGGATCTTGAGTTGCAATCAATGGCAGTGCGAATAAAAGAAAAATTTGACAAATATTGGGGTGAACCAGAAAAAATGAATAAAATAATTTTTATTGCATGTGTTTTGGATCCTCGTAACAAGACTGGGTTCGTTGAATTTGCACTTGAGGAGATGTTTGGTAAAGAAAAAGGGGGAGAAATTGGAAAAGATGTGATAAAGAATATGAATACTCTATATAAAGAGTATATAAAGAAAAATGCAAATGGGTCTCAGCTTCCGTCACCTTCATCTGACTCATCTAATACGTCCAGTGTGAGTAGTATTCTTACTAAAGGAGTATTGAGACTACAATACAAGAAACGCTTAGAAGAGAATGAAAGTTCAGGTGTAAATCTGAGTTAGACAAGTATCTTAGTGAAGGAACTGAGGTTGATAGCGGGGATTTTAATGTCTTACATTGGTGGAAGGTTAATGCACCCAGATTTTCTGTTCTTGCTGAGATGGCTCGCGATGTCTTAGCGGCTCCCATTTCTAGCGTAGCATCAGAATGTGCATTTAGCACTAGAGGTCGCATTCTTGATTCATTTCGGAGTTCATTGACCCCTAGATTGGTGCAAGCTCTTATTTGTGTTCAAGATTGGCTTCGAAGTGAAACTCTTCCTATTAACATCGAGGAAGACTTGGATTATCTAGAGCAGATTGAGAAGGGTGAGAAAATAACAGTTATGTGCTTTTTCTTGTAAATAATTTGTTTGTTATACTATATGAGACATCTTCTTAATTTCTATTTAGACTTAGCCAACAGTGGGAGGGAATCTTGCATTATAGACATATAATTCCTAATTGCAGCTTATCTGGTAAGCCAAAGTTTTTACATGCTTTACGATTTGTCTTTAACTTCTATTTTAAAGGTTGTATTTGAATTATCAGTGAAACTTTTTATGTTCATTAGGTTTAATCATGCCTCGACTTCAAGGTCCTAAAGTTCGATCACCTGTTTGGAATCACTATGAAAAGTTTGAAGAAACTGATGATGGATGGTGCAAACTGAGATGCATTCATTGTGGTTGTGTTTTTCGTAACCATGCGAGGGGTTGTGGAGCGAAATCCTTAATTAAACATCTTAGTTGCTGTTTGAATCGCATTGAGTCTATTAGGATTGAGTAATGGTTGACTTGATTATGAACTAGTACTAGTATGATCTATTTGGACATGGTTTTACAATGTGTAGACTTGTTAATTTTCAAGATGAGTACTTTTTAATTTCTTTTGTTGTCACTGCCAGAAATTTTTTCCCTTGTTCTGTTTTATTTTCAAATACGACATTAATTGCCCGTGAATGAACAGATTGATGAAGAAACGAAATGTCACGACCCAATTCCCATATCCGGTCGTGATGGCGCTTCTCGTGAAGACAAGGCCAGCCAACTAACCCAAATCCTTTCACTAACAAATTATTAAACATAAATGAATAGAAGATACAACTTAATGGCATTAGAAACTGTTAATCACTACCCGACCGGGATGTCACAAGTCACGAGCATCTAAGGAAACCTTAACACAACTACAGGCCAATAAATATATACAAGTAAAATTTCTGGAAAACAAAAGACAACATCCGGTGCCGCGAACGCTGGCGGTCACCTTGCTCAGCTACAATAACAATACCTTCATTCCGTTAATAACCCGCTACCGGGTGAACGATACCTGCAACTGCACGCGAGGTGCAGGGAGTAAAGTGAGTACTTCCAACTCAGTGGTAATAAGAGTAAATAATAACTGAGAGACAAGAAATCACGTAAGAGCACTCCATCATGCTATATAGGACAGTACAACCCTTTGAGAAAACAGTAAAACCGTGATAAATCCTTTAGAAAATATATGGCTCAGTTTAAAAACCTCTTTTGAAAATATCCTCTTCCAACAGTCAAGCAAATGAATGCGTAATCAGATAATGCAAGTCCGCACATAAGTCAGCCCCTCGGGCACAACACTCCACTAACAATTAACACCAGGGCGTCTGGTAAACAGTGCAAGAAGTAGCATGAATGCCAATGAAATAAGAGTGCTGAATGTCATGACACGTATTACAAACAGGAACCAATGCATGAATGCAATGCAATGCATATGACCGCTGCGGCGTGCAGCCCCATCCATTTGGGTACCCGCGCTCACTTTGGGGGTTTAGACTCCGGAGGGTCTCCTACAGCCCAAGCGCAATATCAATATAACACCGCTGCGGCGTGCAGCCCGAGCCATCCATATATCCAGAAATCACTATAACACTGCTGCGGTGCGCAGCCCGATCCATGCTCAGTCCAGAAATGCACATAAGCCCTTTGGGCAATAATAAAATAGCAGTTCTCAGCTCAAAACGTCAGTAAACTATCATTTAAGTTTTCAAATCATGAAAAATGGCTGAATTTGCAAAACAGTATTAAAACCCTGGACCGAGGTCAAATAACATGCAAAGTAATGCAAAATTAGTGATATCAATCCCTGAAGGATTCAAATAATCGGCACGAAGCCCAAAACATGGCAATCAGCCCAAATCATGATGATAACAAGTAGTTTCAGTCAAATACGTAGTAATTTCATCAATCGGGACAGACCAAGTCACAATCCCCAACGGTGCTCTACCCCATGCTCGCTATCCGGCGTGCAAGTCACCTCAATAGAGCACTATGATGTGCAAACCCGGGGTTTCAAACCCTCAGGATATCATTTACAAGTATTACTCACCTCGAACCGGTGAAATCCCTAGCTCGCGACGCCTTTGCCCCTCAAACCGGCCTCCACGCGCGTCGAATCTAACTAAAATCAGAGCGAATACATCACAATATGCTAAGGGAACAATACCCAATCGAAAACAATCGAAAATTAGCAAGAAATCTCGAAACTAGCAAAATCCGAGCCCCGGGCCCGCTTCTCGAAAAATAACAAAATTCACATCACCGGATTCCTCGTCTCGCCACGAGTCCATACATATAAAATTCACCAAAATCGGAGTCCATTTGACCACTCAAATCCCTAGTTTAACTTTCTTAAGTTTCAAGCCCTAACCTCCATTTTTACCCATTTAATTCCTTGGGTTTTCAGTGTTAATCCATGTTTATACACAATAATATCATAATCTAAGTCCAAGAATCCATACCTGATGATAGCCCTCGAAACCCTCTTCAAAAATCGCCCAAAATCTCCTTAGTCCGAAGTCCAAAATGTTTCTTCTCTTTCAAAATCGTGAAAA